GGCAGCCGATCCATGATTCTCTCTCATCATGGATGTTTCTCTCTCTCTCCCTCTCCCTTCCGCTCTAAAATCAATAAAAATATATTTATTTAAAATAAATAATTAAGTGCCAGCCACTAACAAGAGACATCTGCAGCCAGATACAGGCCTGCCCCAGCAGCCCTCGAGCCCTGCCCCCTGGGAGCAGCTTTTTTGGCAAAATGCCATCTGCCCTCCAACTCCGCTCCCCATGCCCTATGAACCCGTTCCCCATGCCAAATCTTGCCACTGGGAGCTCAGGGTCCCCTCGGACAGGCCGCCCCTGGCCCCGGCCCCTGCCCAGTTGCCCCCTCCCCACTGACCTGCCCCTCAGCTCGCCCAGCAGAGCCAGGCCTGCAGCGAGAGGTGACACAGCCACAGAAGGAAAACCCCAAGGCCAGAGTGGAAACGCATCCCCAGCACCCAACACGGGAGCCAACAGACAAAGGCAGCCAAGGACACCCGACCGGGAACTGGCAGAGCCGGCCGCCCATCCCTCCTGGGCTCTGGAAGGAAGGCCCGGCCCCCCCTTCCACACCCACCCCCCACACCCACCCCGCAGGCCCACGGAGTCAGCGGCCACGGCGGTATTTCACGTGTCCATGTGCCCGCGGGAGGCCTTGGCGCTCAGAGCAGGTGTGAGAGGGGTGCTGGCGCATGTCCTGGGCCCGGGCCCTGCACTGGACTCCCCAGGAGGTAGGACCCGGGGGTTCATTCAGGTTCCTGCCCACAGCACCGCCGCCCAGGGCGAGGCCGGGCCCGCCACCACCCGCCGTAATGAAATGCAGCAAATCAAATCAGACTCATTGATTTTCTGTGTTACAATTTTGGGGCTGAAGCGAAAGGCGAGGGGATTGATCAGTTACAGAGTCAGGTGTCAGGGGAGGGGCTGGGAGATCCCTGGGGTGCAGGAGGGGCAGCGAGAGAAGGAAGGGGCCCAACCTGGTGAGGAAACCATGGGGGGTGGTGCAGGAACTGGCCTCCCGCTCAAAGGGTTGCATCCCCCCAAATCCATATGTTGAAACCTCCCGCACCCCAGGTGATGGAGCTAGGAGGTGGCACCTTCGGGAGCTGAGGAGGTCTGGAGGGAGGAGCCCCCGATGGGATGAGTGCCCTTCCCGGCCCCTGAGAGCCCCTGGCCCCTCCGCCAGGTGAGCACTCAGAGAGGCCGTCCTCTCAGGGTGTGGGGCGCCCACACCTCCGTCCCGCACTGCCCAGCCTCTGGCACGGGGAGGACTACGTGTCTGTTGCTTATCAGACAGCCCGTCTGGGGCACTCGGTCATAGCAGCCCTGCAGGCGAAGACAGAGCCCATTTTACAGATGGGCAAACTGAGTCTCAGGGAGATCCAGGGGCTAGACCAGATCTCCCCGTTTCAAGAGAGAAGCCAGGCACTGGATCGAGATCCAGTGGGGCCTTGACTTACGAGTGTCCCGACTAACGAGTTTTTCGAGATACGAGCCGTCTCTCGGCCGTTTTTTGCTTTGAGTTGCGAGCTAACATTCGGGTTACGAGCCAGCTTCAGATACCCCACCGCTAGTTGGCGCAGCGAACGTCACAGTGAACGCCTCATCAGCCCAGCATCACGTGTCTCACTCGTTCACTGTTGATTTGACATACGAGTGATTTGAGTTACGAGCTCCGTCACGGAACGAATTAAACTCGTAAGTCAAGGCCCCCCTGTACTGACACCTCCCCCTTTGTTGAACATTGACGCCTAAGCCCACAGTCATGGCGTGAGAAAGTCCTGGGAAGTTTTAATAAAAAGAGAAAGTGTGTGCGCCCAGCCCCGACCTGACACCCACTCCCGGTGAGGCTGCGTCTCCTTTGTCCCCTGCGCGAAGGGGCTGATGGCTCTGACTCCCATTCTTTTTTTTTTTTTTTAATATATTTTCATTGATTCCAGAAAAGAAAGGAGAGGGAGAGAGAGAGAAACATCAATGATGAGAGGTAATTATCATCGATCCGCTGCCTCCTGCACGCCCCCTACTGGGGATCCAGCCCACCCCCCCGGGCCTGTGCCTTGACCGGGAATCAAACCTCGACCTCCTGGTTCCTAGGTCCACGCTCAATCACTGAGCCACACCAGCCGGGCTCTGAGTCACACTCTGCTCCCCGAGTCCACTCATTCCCGCTGGGGAAGGGCTGGTGACGCTGCCTGGGGGGGCAGGGGTCCCCGTGGTGACAGGGGGCTGCCTGTGCTGAATGCCCAGCGCCAGAGGGAAAGGGACCCTCTCCAGGGCATTCAGTTTAGACCCAGCACAGAAGAAAGGGGCCACCCAGCCGCATACAATGGGGGGGCTGGGGGCTGGGGGGGTGCTCATCCGGGAATGAGGCCCCAGGAAGGACTTTGTGGGGGGGGGGGGGACCGCCCGCCCAGACTTCCCGCCAACAAGCAAGGGGTTTCTTTGGTGCCCCCGGATCAAGGCAACCGCCATGCCCATTGTTGGCTCCAAGCAACCAAGCCCAGATAGGGCCCCCCCACCCCTAGCCCCTGTACCCCCCCTGCCTCCGGTGGGGAGTGGGCGGATGCTGAAATGATTTACTCTGGGAATGTCCCCTGTCCCACCATTAAATCACTCAGGGGAGGCCACGGCATTTGCATACCACTGCCTGCCCCTCCCCGAGCCGCCTCTCCAAAGAGCCACCCATGTGCCCGGTGCCACGGTGCCAGGGGGGGCTGCGAGCGCCTCCGCGGGAAGCCCCCTCCTCCCACTCCAGGCGCTGCACTTCAAAGGCCCTTCTGTCAGCCGCTGCCACCCCCACGCATCATGGGTCACCGGTGCCCGTCCCCCCCCCCCCGCCCCCCAGCGGGGATGCCACCTCGCTGCTACTGTGCAAAGCCACAGCCTGCACAAAAGTGCTTGAATAATGGGGCCCCCTGGTCGCGGAGCCGGGGGTTTGCGCTGACTCGCCCCAAGCACAGTCCCATATGGTTAAGCCCTCGCGAGGCTCCACGTGCACCCACCGCGCTCTTTACCAGGCAGCTGCCCACGCAGGAGGGGGCACGGGCAGGGGTGGGCGCAGGCAGCCCCGGCGGCGACAGCGAGCAGGCCCTTCCTTGCGGCCCAACTCCGCCAACCCCTCCGCCAAGCGCCGTGAGCACATCTTGCCCAAAGGCCCCCCCCAATCCCACCCCCCAAATCCCACCGGCTCTGAGGGCGGCTCTGGTTAATTGCCTGCAACCCTTTCTAACCAACGCAGGCAACTAAGTATCTTTCAGGAATTTCAGCCTTGTTTTTGCCCAGGTCTCCTAGCTGCTGCTAAATACAGGTGTCAAACTGTCTCCCTTTATGTCCCTGGGGAGGAGGGGAGGTAGACATGAGCTTCCAAAGGCCTGGTGATGGGGGTCGGGGGGTCGGGGGTGGGGGGGGGGATGGCGGGGGGGGGGGTGGAGACAGCCGGGCCAGGTGGGCCAGCAACAGATTTCAGGGGTGGCACGCCTTCCCTCCCGCGGCCCAGGCCTCCCCGAGCCGTGCACAAGCTCTCCCGTGGCCGGGGGAGGAGATGGGGTTGGGAGGGACCAGGGGGGGCTCGCCATGTTCTCTTACACCGCACCAGGCAGGCGGCTTCTCTAGGAAATTTCCAGCATTCGCTCGCGAGCGCATCCAGGCCAGCGCTGAGCCCGGAGGAGAAACAAAGCCGACGCCAAACCCAACGTCCCAGCCCCGAGGCCTGTGCGTTTGGGGAACGGTCCCGGGGCTTCGGCTCGGAGGAGGCCGCCTCCACCGCCCGCCCCGGCCACCGCGGCTCGCAGGTGCCCCGAGGAGGGCGCACAGCCACGCCGCTCCGGGGCTGCCGATTCGCCGAGCAGCCTGAAGCGTGGGGTGCCGCCGGGCACCTCGGGCCGAAGGGAAGGGGCCTCCGGGCCGGAGGGCTTCTCGCACATTCGGGGTCACTGGAGGGCGCCTCGGAGGGAGACACGCTCGCTTCCCCACGCACGCGCATCGCGCATGAAGCGGACGCACACGCTGGGCTGCTCCGCCGCCTCCCCAGACGCTCGAGCTTAAAAGTTCAGGTTGTGCATCGCCTGCTCCGCGCGCCCGGGCGGCGAGGCTGCCGGGAACACGGGGGGGCTTTCCCGGCTCGGAAACCGCCGGTCCCGGCTCGAAAAGGTCCGGCGAAGGGAGCTCTCGCCGCGCGCGCGAACCCCGCCGGTGACTGCGCCCCGCTCCCCGCGCCTCTCGCTGTTTCTCCGCGGCTGGCGGCGGGGGGAGGGGAGGGCCCGGCATTTTAGGAGCAGCTGCTGCTCGAACCAACACGTAGCCGCGCCGAGGCGGCGGCAAGCTCCCCGAACTCCAGCGGAGACGGAAAATAGCTGAGGAGGCCGCCTTTCCCACGCACGCTGCGCCGGTGCAGGCGGAGCCCGGCTCCCGGACCCAGGCGCCGGCTGCGGGCGTCACCGCGTTCCCGGAGGCCCTGCGCGCCCGTCCGGCGGCCTGGGGGTCCGGGCGCTGGGGCGGCGGCAAGGCCACTGGGGAGGGTCCCCGAGTGCCGCGGGGTGTGGGGCGGCGCTGGGGACGCGCCAGGCTGCGCGGGCAGAGGCGACCCGAAGTCGGGCCCGGCCCGCAGGTGTCCTGGGAACTCAGGGCCCTGCGCCCACGGGCATGCGGAAGCCAAGAGAGGGGGTCCACCGACGCCCCGCCACCGCGAAACCCCGCGAGAACCAGGACCTGGGGGGATGGCGCCCCAAGGCGGGGCGGGGAGGGGGCTGGATTCCTGGAGGCGCGCCCCCACTCGCCTCCGGAGGCTCGGCGCTCTCAGAGGATCCGCAGGGGCGCTGGGGAGGAGGGCGGGCGGGCTCGCGCTTGGAAAGGGGGTCCGTGCTGGGGGCCCCCGGGTTCCCAGGGTCTCCCCAGATCTCCCCAAGTCCGGAAGAGGCGAGCAGCCGGGGACTTGAGGAGGAGGAGGTGGTCGCCCCGCGCCAGAGCCAACTTTGTGCGCGGCGGCCGGGGTCGGGGAGGGGGTCCCGGGGACGCTTACCTGGGCACCGGAGCGCGGTCAGCGCCAGCAGCAGCCCGAGCGGCGGCGCCCGGCCCGGGGGCGGCATGGTCCTCGGCGCGCGGGGGCGCGGGGGGCGCTGCTCCGGTCGCGCGCCCGGCCCGGCCCGCGGCTCCCGGGAGCGACCGGGGGGCTACGCCGGGGCTGCGGACATGGCTCTTCCCGGGCGCAGGCGGGCGGCGCTTCTTGGGCTGCGCCAGGCGCGGAGGAGAGCGGGGTCCAGGCTCAGCGCCCCGCGCCCTCGCCGGCGGCCCTGCGCTTGGCCCGAGTGGCGTGGCCCCGGCCGCCGCCGCCACCGCCTCCGCGGCTCCTGCGTCCCAGCGCCCGTCCCATCCCGGCCTCGCCGCCGCCGCCGCGCCAGCTGCCGGCCGCCCCTGAGCCGGGGAGAGAGTGAGCGAGGCGGCGAGCGAGCGCCCGGAGCAGGGAGGGGCGCGGAGGGAGGGGCGGCGAGGCCGGGGGAGGGGCCACCGGAGCCGGGGCAGCGGGCGGCCGCCCGGTGATAGGCGGCGGGACGTGCCACTCCCTGGCGTCCCCCGGGGGGGAGGGCGCCGGGCCGCGGAGGCCGGGGGAGACCCGCGGGGGCGGGCGGGGGCGGGGCACGGGCACAGTCGCGGGGTGGCTCGCCCCGGGAAGGGCAGGGAGGTCGGGGCGTCGCGGGGGAGTCCCCAGGTCGGGGCTCAGGGAGGCGAGGCAGGTCCTGGGACGGGGCAGGTGTCTGCAGGTGGCAGGGACGGCGAGGCTGAGCGCAGGCGAGAGGTCCCGCAATAGATTTGGCACAGCTCGGGGTGCCTGGGGGAGGGGAGGCAGGGACGGCCGCGGGGAGCCGGGGGTACCTGGGTGGGGGGCGGGGGCGGGGGGCGGTCAGGGATCCTGAGACAGATCTGAGGGGTCGTGGGCTGTGCACCCCGGTGAGCAGCAGGGACACACACACCCCAGGCGCAATGGGGGCGAAGGCCGAGCGGGTCAGTGACCCCGTGGGGGGCAGGGCACAGGGGGGAGCAGAGGCAGAGAGGAGGACAGGGTGGCCGGATGCCTCCAGCCCCGGCCTCAGCGGCTCCGGGTACCCTGTATCCAGAAGCCCACCCCACCCCCCAACCCGGGCCAGGCACCGGGCGTGGCTGCGCGGCTGGGCCAGGCCGGGCATCCGGCCAGCAGTCCGCAGATGCCTTGAAAGTCGCCCCACACAGCTGCAAGCGCAGGGGGTCCGGGGGTGGGGGTGGGGGGGCAGGGGGCGCCTGGGGTTGGAGTCCGCGCACTCCCCAACCCCCACCCGCCAGCCCCCCTGGCTCCCGCGGCTCCGTTTTCCCTGACAAAGTGGGTCAGACTCTTTGCAGCCGGTCAGGGAGGCCGCGCGGAGTGAGGCCCAGGCTTTTGGAAGGACGTCCGCAGCCTGGAGTCTTGGCCCAGCATCCGGCTGGCCCTGCTGTGCACCCTGGAGAGGGGGCGCCGTGTCCCCTCCCGAGCCTCAGTTTCCCCATCGGAGAAGCCGGCGCCATGGCGGCCTCCACCTGGGGTCCCAGGTCATGCGCAGAAAACTCCCGCGCTAACTAGGAAGCGAGCTGTGCGAAGGGACCGCTGCGGACATCATTATTCTCATCACCGCGGCCATGAGTTCTCCGTGTCTGACTCCCCCGCCGCCGGCCTGCGCCCCGCCCAGCTGGCGAGGGGCTGGCGGGCACCTGCCTCATTAGTACCGACAGGCTCATTAGCAGAGCTCAGCTCTTGTGAGATGAAGGGGGGAGATGAGGCGGGGGCAGGTGGGGAGGCCCGGGCCCCGGTTAATTAGGAAACATTCAGGGATTTTCCCAGGCCTGGCCGAGCCCACCAGCCGGCACCCTGGCAAGGCCTGGGGTGCACGGAGACCCACATACCAGGCTGGGCAGTGGGTGGTCTCCTGGAGACCCCCTGCTGTCCCCTCTCTGTGATGAACCCCCAAAGCTGTCAGGCCTTTTCTGGGGACCCTCTGGCTAGGCTGCTGGCCACCTCCTCTCTCTCCCACTCTCATTCCTGAGTGCTGGCCGAGCTGAGCACCTACTGTGCGCCCGGCCTGTGCAGGGTGAGGGTGGCAAGGACCATGCATGGGGTTCCCTGTGGCCAGCACGAGGGGGAATGCACACGCAGCTCAAGGGGAGGGGCTGCCATGGCAGAGACACGTGCCCGCGTGGCCTGGGGCGTTCCTGCCATGGTGCCCACGTATCTGACCGCCTGCAGGCCGGAGAAAGCTGGGCGTCTGTGCCCAGAGATAAGAAGGGTGCATGGGGGAAGGGGGCCTGTATCCCCCAGTCATATGGGATCAGGCCTCCTGCTCCCCACTCAGGACCACCCCGCAGAGGCACCCCATTTCTCAGGGCGGAGCTGGGTCTGGGGGCAGCGGCACCTCCACTTGCCTGCCTCTGCCAGCCAGTCCCTGGCTCATGGCCCTGCAGCCTCCCAGCCTCCGGGGACTTGCACACCTGTCCCACCTGCACACCTTCGCCCTGGGGTCTCCTCTCCTGAGCCCCCCCTCCCAGGTCTTCTCAGGACCCGCTCCTCCTCCCTTCAGGTCTCAGCTCAAATGTCACCTCCTCCAGGAGGCCATCCCAGACCACACCATCCAAAATAGACACCACCACCACACACACACACACACACACACACACACACACACACACACACAGCGTAGCTCAATGGTTGAGTGTCAACCTATGAACCAGGAGGTCAGGGTTCAATCCCCAGTCAAGGACACATGCTGGGGTTGCGCCTGATCTCCAGGAGGGGGCGTGCAGGAGGCAGCCGATCTTTGATTCTCTCTCATTGACGTTTCTGTCACCCTCTCCCTGCCTCTCTGGAATCAATAAAAATACATTTTAAAAAATTAAAATTAAAAATAAATAAAACGTAGCCCCCTCCCACTCCCTCTCCAGCCCTGTCCATGTGTTTGCAGTGCTGCTGAGACAGAGGGAGGCAGACGGACAGGCCTCCCGCCCCCCAGGCCGAGTCAGGAGAGGGCCGGGTTCCCAGGGTTCCTCACCACCTCCCCGCTGTGTGACTTTGGGCAAGCCCCTAGCCCTCTCTGAGCTCCTGTGCGAGCGGAAATGACAACCCCAGCTCCGCCTCTCCTCGGCCTGCGCCCTGATTGGATGGAGCTGTCCGCATATTAACAAGCCTAGATCTAAGGGGCTGTTTCTGGCGTTGATATGAGCAGGGCAAGGCCGTCCCTGATCTTGAAGGGCTGCTGGGGGTTTGGTGGTGGCGGCGCTGGCAGCAATGACCTAGGTCCTAGGAGACCCCCAGGGCTGGGCGGAGCGGGCCTCTCACTCCCGCCCTATCCCCCCTCCCAGCGAACCCAGAAGCCCACCCCCAGCCCGGGGCAGGATCACAGAACCCCACAGCCCAAACCCCTGGGGTACAGAGAGGGACCCTGGGGCCGGGAAGGCCCTGCCCCCGCTCTGGACGTGGTGCGGAGGCAGCTCCGAGTAGGAACCAGCCTGGCCCCGCCCAAGGCCTCCGCGCGGCGCTAGGCTCCACCCTCCCGGCAGCTGCCCCCACGCGGGCCCGCCCCCGCCCCTCGCTGCGGCTCAGCCCACGCGCGGGGCTACAAACGTAGGGCGACACTGCCATCGCGTGGCGGTCGCTGGTACTGCGGGCCCGACCTGCGCTGCAAAAGAAAGGCGGGGACCTGGAAGGGTGGGGGTCCGAGGGGGAGGGGGATGGGGGGGCGCTAGGCGAAAAGATTGCCCCGCCTCCCCCCGCGTGCAGAGGCCTTGAGAGACCCCTTTATCCGTTGCACGGACAGCACTTCCAGCCGCAGCCGGCGACCCCCGACGTGACCCGCCAGTTGGATGGATGCTCCTTGCAAAGACGGGCAGCCTTCGATTTCCCCTGCGAAGGCTCCTGTTTAGCTGAACCTGAACCAGAATCCACTCAAATCCCCTTCCACACCCCGGGAACGGTGTGGGGAGGGGCCCCCGAAACAGCGTGGCGCTCACCTGCCTGGGAGGCAGGAGGGAGACTCCCCAGCTCACCCGGCCGCCTGGGCCCGTGGTGGAGGGAGGAGGGCTCCTTCAGGGCAACCACTCTGGGGAGCCCCGGCCTCAAGCATCCCCTCTCCTCTCTCTCTCCCTCTCCCTCTCCCTCTCCCTCTCCCTCTCCCTCTCCCTCTCCCTCTCCCTCTCCCTCTCCCTCTCCCTCTCCTCTCTCTGTCCCTTTCCCCTACTTTATTTTTCTGCAGAGCCGCTGTGACTACCTGGTGCCGGATGTGCAGGGAGAGAAACTCCATCCCTGCTCATCTCCTGCCCGGGAGGGTCAGCCTGTGCCTTGGTCACCAAGCAGCTGCTGGGCACAGGGCAGCGTCCAGTAAATGGTGGATGGATGGACAGATGGATGGATGGACGGACGGACCGATGGATGGGTGAAACTCAGGGCTGGACAAGAGACCCAGGGGGCGGGGTTTGGGGGCAGTTTAAAGTGTGCTAGAAAGCCCTGACCGGTTTGGCTCAGTGGATAGAGCGTCGGCCTGCGGACCAAAGGGTCCCGGGTTTGATTCCAGTCAAGGGCATGTACCTTGGTTGCGGACATATCCCCAGTGGGGGGTGTGCAGGAGGCAACTGATCGATGTTCCTCTCTCATCAATGTTTCTAACTCTCCCTCTCCCTTCCTCTCTGTAAAAAATCAATGTTATATATATATATATATATATATATATATATATTTTTTTTTTTTTTTTTTAAGTGTGCTAGAAGCCTGGTCCTTGTGGCTCAGGAGGTCACAGTTGGATTGGATTCCGGTCAGGGCACAGGCCCCGGTTGCAGGCTCCATCCCCAGTGTGGGGCGTGCAGGAGGCAGCCGATCCGTGGTTCTCTCTCATCATGGATGCTCCTCTCTCCCTCCCTCTCCCTTCCTCTCTGAACCCAATACAAATAACTGTATTGTTAATGTGCTAGAAGAGTTGGCTTTGGGTGGTGAGCTCACAATGCAATGTACACAGGAGGCCCCTAGCACTGTGCCCTGGAAACCTAGACAACCTTACTAACCCAGGAAACTTCCTCTTAAAAAGCGGGGGGAGCGTGTGCCGGAGCATTGTAAGTGGAAACAGAAAGACGAGGAACGAGGGATGACACGGCGTTCGGCACGTGCCTGGCGGGCTCCCTCCATCTCTCCCGTGTCCTGTTGTGGGGACACGCACGCAACATAGAATGTGCCTCCGACCCTTTCAGCGTGCGGCTCCCTGGCGTTCTGTCCCCGCTCGGGGCTGTGACCGCCCCCGCCACCAGTTCCAGAACATTCTCCCCCCCAGACAGAAACCCTGTACCCAGTTTCCCCCCGACGCCCCTCCCGCCCACCACATGCTGCCTGTCCCTGTGGGTTTACCTCGGCGGGCCTGTCGTTATACGC